CGGTGCGAGGGGGTGCAGGGGTGGGAACGGGCCTGGATCAGCCAGTCCGCGCTAGAGGTCCTTGAGCCTACTCCAGATGCAAAAGGCCCTCAATTCCTCTGCATCCCCTCCCCCCCCACGGATCAAGGGACTTAGTACGTTGAGTTATACGTGCTTAGTTTGGGGTTTTAAGCTTATGCGTCCACGTACTAATTGACACACGTACACTTAGGCTTCGAACCAATATGATATACCGGCGCAAAATCGAACTTTGGCCCACACAACAAAATCATGAATGAAAATCGTAATTACATACATAATATGACAATGATAGATTTGTGTTTATATTGATACATATATATATATGTTGTATTCAAAATGAAAGTTACAGTATTGGTAACATGAGCTTTAAAATTACAATGACAATAATAAGAATAATCATATTCTGAATACTGTTAATAATCATACTAGCGATGGTAATAGTAGCAGTAGTAGTAGTNNCTACTACTACTACTAGTATTAGTACTAGTACTAGTACTAGTACTAGTACTAGTAGTAGTCGTAGTAATCGTAGCAGTCGTAGTAGTAGTAGTAGTAGTAGTAGTAGTAGTAGACTGTTGTAGTAGATTGTTGTAGTAGTAGGAATCTCAGTCACAGTCATAGCCATAGTCCTAGTCATAGGAGAGTGATCGTAATTGTAATCGTTATCGTATTAATAATAATATTACCTGCAGCAATGACAATGATACAGTTAAGCAATCACATACAGTAGTTTGTGTAAAGCATATCAGAAAACAATATAATATAATAGCATATAACATAACATAACATAACATAATATAACATAACATGACATAACATACCATAACATAACATAACATAACATAACATAACATAACATAACATAACATAACATAACATAACATAACATAACATAACATAACGTAACATAACATAACATAACATAACATAACATAACATAACATAGCATAAATGAATATAACATGATGTAGCGGCATCATATTTTGTAATACAACATGATATAATATACTGAACTATAGCAAAAACAGTGCAATACAGTATAGTATAGTATAGCAAATTTTATCATACGATACAGGCTGTTACATATATGTATATACACATTGTAACACATGTGGGGAGCTCTCGCTCCCTCTCTCCGTATACATGTACATCTATATATATATATATATATGAGCCCGATACCATTAGGGTTTATTTAGCTAGGCGTTTATATATGCAATATAAAATCCCTAGCTAATTATTTTACACATAAATTATACATTGCACAAACGTAATTCCGAAAAGTTTGAGACATGCCCGAAGATATTGTTTAATATCGATCTCCTGTACACTTCGGAAGATTAGCTTGTCAAGCGGCATTCGTACTTGATGCATCCAACATCTTGCATAACAATCCGATGACTGCTATCATGTTGTACATCGAATTTCCATGCAGTTCGGAAGCTTGGCCTGGTGACCGGCATCCATGCTTGATGCACCCGACATCTTATGCGACAACCCGATAAATGCCATCATGTTATGCAGCGATTTCCATATAGTTTGGAAGGTTGGCTTGGTGACCGGTGTCCATGCTAGATGCATCCGACATCTTACATCACAGTCCATGTGCAGCCATCGTGTAATCGGAAATACATGGTTGGCAAGCAGCATTCATGTACAGCACCTGCTCCAAATAGACCTGGCGTCCACCCAGACCCCCATGCATTTTCGCATAACATCCATAGGCCAGCCACGTCAACGTCCATCCTGCACTCATACGTTTTGGCAAAGCAACCATGTCCTAACCATGATAATGTCCAACTAGACCCCATCCGTTGTCGTATAGCACCCAGGGGCCAGTCAGAATGGTGGACATTTTCATTCTCCTTGTCCTTTGGATATGGGCTACGAGCAAAGGAGAGGATTGGACCAAATTTTGGAGAACAGCTTGCCCGGCAAAATTTGGTCCAATGCTCTATTTTGTCGTATCTGATCTAACAGATGGAAAAGGGATTTGGATGGTCGTACATAGTACATTTGGATGCTTTGTGTTGGTCTTTGTCGTCCCTTTGGTGTGAGTCGGCGTGAGTTCCAGTCTTCCAACTCTAACATCAACTCCAAAGCCCCAACACGTTTACAAGCAGTGTGACCAACAACAGCAGCCAATGACAACAGTAGCAACAACATGCACAGTCACAACCACGACCAAGGATAGGATGAACATCTCGCTGGCAAAAGTTGGTTCACTTCTCCCTGTTGCCATTTCCCATAGGTTAAAGAAAAAACAAAGCACATAATAGGATTAAAAGTTCGCTAACATCTCGCAAGCAAAGTTTAGTCCAGTTGTCTCAGCTGTCAGGAAGAAGTTCCGGGAACAGCCCGTCGAAGACTTTAAAGATCACATAAATATGATAAAGATAAAAGAGGATGGCACATAAGATGTTGGAAGAAGTTCAGGGAACAGCTCGTCGGCCAAATTTGGTCCAATCCTCTCCTTTGCTCGTGGCCCAATACGAAGGACAAGGAGAAGTGAACAAACATATCTGCATCGAATGAGAACACCTCTCCTTTGCTCGTGCGCTAGAACAAAAGACAAGGAGAAGTGAACACGCAAACCTGCATTGAATGGGAACAATACCTGTATAAACTTATAACCAGGCAAGCAAAGATGATAAAGATGACACAAATGTGACAAAGATAATAAACAAAGATGATGCACGTAAGATTTGTGGAAGAAGTGCCGGGAATAGGTCGTCGGCAAAAGTTGATCCAATCCTCTCTGCTGTCATTTCCTTGGTTACCGGCAAGAAATGATGGCGGAGAGGATTGAACCACATTTTGCCGACTAGCTGTTCCCATAGCTTTCTTGATGTTACCGATGGGAAATGACAGCAGAGAGGATTGGACCAAATTTCACAAATATGATAAAAGGTACTTAAAAACGATGATACACATAAGATTTGGAAGAAGTTGCAGTAACAGATCGTCGGCAAAATTTGGTCCAATCCTCTCTGCTGTGATTTCCTTGGTTACCTGTAGGAAATGACAGCGGGGACTGTCATTTCCTTGGTTACCGGTAGGAAATGACAGCGGAGAGGATTGGACCAACTTTTGCCGACCAGCTGTTCCCATTGCTTTCTTGATGTTACCGATGGGCAATGACAGCAGAGAGGATTGGACCAAATTTTGCCGGGCAAGCAAAGATGATAAAGATGACACAAATGTGACAAAGATAATAAACAAAGATGATGCACGTAAGATTTGTGGAAGAAGTGCCGGGAATAGGTCGTCGGCAAAAGTTGATCCAATCCTCTCTGCTGTCATTTCCTTGGTTACCGGCAAGAAATGATGGCGGAGAGGATTGAACCACATTTTGCCGACTAGCTGTTCCCATAGCTTTCTTGATGTTACCGATGGGAAATGACAGCAGAGAGGATTGGACCAAATTTTGCCAAGCAAGCAAAGATATCATAAATTTGATAAAATGGTCATCAAGGTGGGCAGGTGGGCGGGTGAGTGGGTGTGTGGGTGGGTGAACGGGTGGGTGGGTGGGTGTGGGCCCTTTGTTTAATGCGATATTTACAGGCTTTTTGCTCGGTGGCGTCTCACTTCCGCCAGATTCCACCAGCAGATGTGTGAAATCCCTAACCCTTTGTTTAGTGCGGTGTTTACACGTTTTTTGCTCGGTCGCGGCTCACTTCTGCCAGATTTTACCAGCAGATGTGTGAAGTACTTAGCCCGTGTTTCTATGCGGTATTTGCAAGCTTTTGGTTTGGTCGCCACTCACTTCCGCCAGGTTCTACCAGCAAATGTGTGCAATCCCTAGCCCTTTGTTTAATGCGGTCTTTACAGTTTTTTGCTCAGTCGCGGCTCACTTCCGCCAGATCTGACCAGCACGTGTGTGAAATACCTAGCCCGTGTTTTCATGCGGCATTTACATGCGTTTTGTTTGAATTTGGTTGCCACTCACTTCCGCCAGATTTTGCCAGCAGATGTGTGAAACCCCTAGGTCTTCGTTTAATGTGGTGTTTACGGGCCTTTCGTCTGGTCGCCACACACATTCGCCAGCTTTTAATAGCAGATGTGTGAAGTCCCCAGCCCTTTGTTTAATGCGGTGTTTACAAGTTTTTTGCTCGGTCGCGGCTCAGTTCCGCCAGATTTTGCCAGCAGATGTGTGAAATCCCTAGCCCATGTTTTTATGCGGTATTTACAGGCGTTTTGTTTGGTCGCCACTCACTTCCGCCAGCAGATGTGTGAAATCCCTACAGTAGCCCTTTGTTTAATGCGGTGTTTACAAGTTTTTTGCTCGGTGGCGGCTCACTTCCGCCAGATTTTGCCAACAGATGTATGAAATCCCTAGCCGCCGTTTTAACGCGATTGTTTATAAGTCTTTTGGTGCTGGGTGTTGGGTTTGGGGCAAAGAAGTGTAGTGTAGGGTTTAGGGGAAAAGGAGTGCAGGGAATGGGGTCTAAGCTTTTGGAGAAAAGGGTTTAAGGGAGTCGGTGCAGGAGGGTGCCTCAGGGTCAAGTTCACAGGGGTGCAGGGTGTCCTTTCAACCGAAACAAATGAGAGGTGGAGCGCGCGGAGGGTGTGGCGGGGGAGAACCACCCGCTGCCCGCCACCCCCCGCCCCAGCCCCAGCCTGTCACCCCCCTCCCGGACTCGCCCGCTCGCCAGCCTGCACACCCCAAGCCCCTCCGTCCCCCCAGCCCGCCACCCTACTTGAATTAATTGAAATAATCGAAATAATCGAAACCATTGAGATAATTGAAATCCTGGAATTTCCTGGGCCGACCACCCAAACCCCACGATTTGAATTGACCGAAATAATCGAAATAATTGAAATAATCAAAGTATTTGAAATGATTTTGATTATTTCGATTGTTTGGCTCCCAAACCAATGGAATAATTTCGATTATTTCAGTTATTTCCATTATTTCAATTAAATCAATTATTTTGATGAATTGAAATGGTGGGGTTTGGGGCTGGACCCCAAACACCAATTATTTGGATTATTTCAATTATTTCGATTATTTGGGTCCCCAAACCACTCGAAACAATTGAAATTTGAAATCCTGGGGTTTCCTGGGCCGACCCCCCAAACCCCACGATTTGAGTTGATCGAAATAAATGAAATAATCAAAATAATTGAAACGTTTTTGATTATTTCGATTATTTCGATTGTTTGGGTCCCGAAACCAATCGAAATAAGCGAAATCATTGAAATGATTTCGATTATTTTAATTATTTCGATTATTTCGATCAATTCAAATGGTGGGGTTTGGGACTGGACCACAAACACCAATTATTTGGATTATTTCAAGTATTTCGATTATTTGGGTCCCCAAACCAATCGAAATAATTGAAATGCTTTAAATAATTGAAATCGGCCCGCTGATTTGAATTATTTCACTTATTTCTGTTATTTATATTCTATTTAATCATAAACGAAGAAACTAGGGCTTCAAATAGACCCTAGAGGCGCCTCTCTCTCTCTCTCATATATACATCTATATATATATATATTTATATTTATATTTATGTGTATATATATATATGTATACCATTGTAATTATAATATGTTTAAATATCGTGTCATATCTTATACTTTATTGCAGTATACTACTCTAAGTTGTATTGGAATTGTTGTATTTTGCTGTTAATGCTCTTATTCTTATATGTTATTATGTTATGTTAAGTTTGCTTTTGCATTGCATTGTATTTATTGTAACATATTCTATTTTTGTTCGTATGTTTTGTTGTATTTCAATATACTAAGGTATATTGTAGTATATTGCAGTATATCATAGTTTGTTATAGTATAGTATACAGTAATATCTGATTATCTTATGGTAATGGTCTGTTATAACGCATTATACTATGCTATGTCACGTTCTTTCCTTGTCTATTGTATTATATATGGTTTAAACTACATTATGTCATAGTATTTTGTGTTAATAGTTCTTTGTATGATGCTATTCTTTACTGTCATGCTGTTTTATTGTATTATGTTGTGGCAAGTTATATGGTATTCGATTTCTATCCATATGTATATATATATAAATATATATATATATATATATATATTCACACATATGTACAAACACACACACACACACACACACACACACGCGCGTATGTGTGTGTGTGAGTACATGTGGTTCGTTGAGGTTATATCATAATCATGGACCCATGACTATTTTTATACTTGTATATTTCATCGTATCATACTTTATCATATCAAATCGTATCATACCATGTCATGCTTACTTTCTTACACGTCTTTTATATGTTTTTGTGCGTTTCAAGCAGGATTTTATTGTGTAGGCAAGGGTTCGGTTTCCGCATGTATATCATATTGGTTCGATGTGCCCACAGGTACGTAAAGCTTTGTGGCATGAAGTACGTGGTGGGTGTGCAAGCCTAGAGCCCCAAGCTGATTTTTAATCCACACAGATCTTCAGTGGTTATGAACGCCCCCAGGCGCGCCTAGCTACGGCTGAAATGCACTTGTAGGCCTAAAGATTCGGCAATGCGGGCGCTTCGTGCCAGGGTTCTAAGCAGTCTTTGAGTCTTCTGAACCGTTCCAGAAGATCTGTGCCAACTTTAAGTGTGGGTTTGAGGTTGAGCGCTTACTGAATAATTTGCTTGTCCTGAACCCTGTTAACCTTTGTGGCAGGCCTTGGGTGCCGTGGGCTTCGTTTATTTTTTGGCCAGTGGCGTCACCAACGCTTTCCAGAAAGGCTGCTTGCCGTATCCTTGCCCGACTGGCGAGGCCGCTGTGTGTTTTGTGCTCGAGGTTCAGGGTTCTTGGTTGTGAGGCTGGAAACAAGGAATTTAAGGGTTCAGAAGCATGTGCCTCCGAGGTTGTGCTAGTTCACTGCGCTCAGTGAGAGAAGTAAGTTCCGCAAGACATATCCGCAAATCATGGACATCCTCCGAGCAAATCAAAGGGCACCTTGCGTTATCGGCATGTCGGAGAACGTCAGTATCCAAATCTCCAACTACCGGCTCTTCCGTGCGTATGCGTGATGCGTGCATGCATCGAGTTGTTCGCAACTGCGGGGTCCTCAGTCCTACGTGCTCAAGCGTGTGTCTCCGTGCCATGGACTGTTTTGGTTGATGGTTGGCTGTGCTAAGGTTTTCGCATTGCGGCTTTGGTCGCAGTCATGGTCCGTGTTCAGAGACTTCAGTTTCCAGTAGCAGGTGAAGTAAGAACCGTTCAGTTTCATCGGAGGCCCGGAGGCTTCAGTTATTTGCCAAAGCTTCCCTTAACTGGGATCTGGATTCGTAGACTTGGGAAGGAGGGGAGAGAGGAGAGCGAGAGGGAGACAGGCAGAGGCTTGGAGGTTGTTCGACAGATTGTTTTCAGCAAGATGCTGCAGCTTTGACATGCCCTGTGCGTCACCATTGACCGTGCCCGTTCCAGAGATGGAGATCGTGCGTTCGGGGGAAATTGGACCCTGTGACTTGAAACGTGATGTTGGCACTGTCAAGCAGCACATGAGAGTGCCAGGCCACATCAAGTATCAACGCACTCACCGACAGAGGACATGCTGATTTTCGAGATGGTTGCGGCTTTACCACTCCTCTTTCTCTTCGCAGTGAACATGCGAGCGCCTGGTTCGAACAAACGAATTGGGGAGTAGGGTGGGCGGGGGTAGGCCTTCAGGGAGGCCAAAATTGGGAAAGGTCAGCATGTCATGTTGTGCGCATCGATGCGGGAGTCAAGCTTCTAGATCATGGGATTTGTGGTTTATGTTAGAACATCGGGCCTTTGACGAATGCACTGTCTTTCAGCGTGAAGTAGTGATAAACACCTTTGCATTGGTACAAATGTTCGACCGCTCTCAGTCACTTCTGTCAGGAAGATGTTGCTGCTGATGCGCATAAGCATAGCTGCCTTTTGCTGTTTTTTGTGTTAGGACTGTTACGGTGCGTGAAAGAGCGAGTTCGTGTTGGGAAGACATGGCACTACTTGGAACTGAAGCTGTGCGCGATCCCTGTTCTAAACAGATAGGCGACCCAAGTCTGCGATGTAGAAATTGCAGCGCATCTCTTCTCCGACTTTGCTCCAAAGCCTGGTTTCGTCGTGAAGCCGGTGTTCAAGACCTCTGTGCCCCTCGCGTATTGGCAGAAGAAAAGCCACGTATTCAAACTCGTGGCTGTGTTCCCTGAAACAGTTTTGAAGTTCTCGCACGCAAGGTTTGTGCGCATGGTGCAGCTCTTACGGAGAAGTGCCGTCAGATTCCTGCTTTTGTGAACCAGATTCCGTCTCCGGAGCCGATTGAACCTTGGATGCAGCCTGGGGTGTAGGATGTCATGCGAGCTGTAGATAAATGTGGAATGGGTCACAAAATTAGGTTTATGTGCTTGGGTCGAGACGATTAGAAAATCGGGATATAGAAGCCAAAAACTGAATCGACAAAAACACTGCCTGATCATCGTAAAAAGTTATAGCGGCCACAAGTGAGAAGCTACAACAGTAGCGATGCCACTCTTCAACCGAGCACATGTTTTGGAGCCTTGTTTGGGATCCTCATCAAACCGCGCGGTAATGTCTTTGCCACGACGCTTCGAAGCTCAATCTCCGATCCTCTAAGCTTGTGCTGGGCGTGGGGCATGCGTCGTCCCACTAGCTGTGGGAGCACTGCAGCATGGAAGGCTCAAGAAGCCTAGCCATGTGGCCTTCGACAGGACATAAGATGCCCATCGCACACGAACTCAAACGATCTAGGCCGGGTTGCAGTGAACGCAGGCGACCCTGAGCCTCAAGAACGAAGTTAACTGCTCCGAAGCATAATGGCCTAATTACCATGCAGACCACACTACTGCCCTGTGTCATCCGAAGGACACAGAGAGATCTTACCTCGCACCACGGCTGCAGCATTCGATCTCGACACGCAGGTCCTTCAGGTTGCATCTGTTTGTCTGCAGTCGAATCCTCAATCCTGGGGTCTCGACAAGCGCGAAGGTCCACTTCATTACAGACAGCTCCGCCGGGTTCTTCGTCAAAGACGCACGCCTTACGCGCGAGATGTTTCTGAAGTGCGCGGCCCCAGAGACGATATGGGATACTGTTTCCGGCCGAAATGACACATAATAATATACCACAAAAGTTTTATTATTACATCACGCTATATGATGTCTCAACATGACAGAATAGACACGAAATAAAGTATATCATATGTCACAATATAAACTGCTCTAATATGAGTTTATTATTAAACATGCTTGCAACAATATGTTGTAAGGTAAAATACCGTACAGTACTTTAAAGTAATAGATAACAGAATCAGTTTGACAAATGGGAATCCAAATGATTATGTTACAAGATAATGGAATGTATCATGCTATACAATAAAACATCAGATCATAATGTACTTCAGTTATTCGTTATCATACAATGCAGTACAAGGCAGCATAATAAAACATGTCATACTGCAACACAGTTTCTTGGACAAAAATATACCGCGGCAATAAATAATGTATCACAACAGGACAAGTACAGCACAATGCAGCACGGTAGAACATAGCGTACAATACTTCAATATGATGCGTTAACATAGAATGGAATACAACAGTATAGGTTATTGCCAAGCAATGTAACATAACATTCTACCATAATGCACAATATCGTAACGTAACACGGGAAAGAGTAATGCCATGCAGATTAAAGTGATACATTATATAATGTAAGGCTTTTAGAGCCGAATAAACATTGCATAATGCAGTGTAGCATAACACAGTAGAGTGCACTATGATATGACATAGTACAAAGTAACATAATAAAATGCAGCAAATCATACTATTTTACTTAAGTATACCACAATGTATTTTAGAATAATGTAGCACATTATATGAAGTACTACTACGACTACTACTACTACTACTACTACTACTACTACTACTACTACTGCTACTGCTACTACTACTACTACTACTATTACTACTACTTCTACTACTTCTGCTACTACTACTACTACTACTACTACTACTACTACTACTGCTACTACTACGACTACGACTACGATTACCACGACTACTGCGACTACTGCTACTACTGCTACTTCTACTGCTACTACGACCGCT